CTAACCATTCTATGATTCTATATGTCCTTTAATACAGTTTCAGAATGATGGAGTACATGGTAAAATCCAGATGGGGTTAACTGCTGTGCTGAGATAATAGCAGTTTAATAGGACAGAAAAGGAAGGGAAAATAACGATAACAGAATACGCAAAATAAGTAGAGCATACTGCAATTGCTCACCACCTGCCAACTTATGCTCAGCCTGAGTAGCGGCCCCTGGCCAGCTTTCCCTGTAGTTTATATACTGAGGATGATGACCCATGGTATGGAATGTCCCTTTGGCCAGCTTGGGTCAGTTGTCCTAGCTATGCTCCCTCCCAGCTTCTTGTGCATCTCCTTGCTGGCAGAACATGGGAAGCTGGAAAGTCCTTGACTTCATTGTTGCTAAGTAGCACTTACACTAAAACATCCCTGCGTTATCGACATTGTTCTCATACTAAATCCAAACCACAGCACTATACCAGCTCCTAGGACGAAAATTATTCTGTCCCAGCCAAAACCAGGATAGGAACCCAGAACCAGACCCAGCACTCCAGGTGTGGCTTCACCAGTACTGAGCAGAGGGGAAGCATCACCTCCCTCTACCTTCTGCCAACACTCAGCCTAATGCAACCCAGGATACCATATGCCTTTTTTGCAGCGTGCAAACTACTTCAATGCTATTAATGTTCACAAACATCTGCAAAAGACAGTTTTGGTCTACAGAAACAACATAACTAGAACTTTTCATACCCTGCTTTGTGCATCCAGTAAAGCTCAGCTGCTATACTGCCAGAGTTAGTGTTTGTGGTTTTAAAAGTATTTATTTGGAAAATTTCCTATTTATGTGTTTTCAGTGTTATCATAGAATGGTTTGGATTGGAAGGGACCTTTTAAAGGTCATCTAGTCCAACCGCCCTACAGTGAGTGGGGACACCTTCAACTAGATCAGGTTCCTCAGAGTCCCATCCAACCTGGCCTTGAATGTTTCCAAGGATAGGAAACATGCATAGGTGGTGTATGTTTTGCAAAAAGTTCAAATTATAACAAAAATAAGAAAACACCTTCAAAAATATTTATTTATTAAAGTTTTTTTTTGTGATTGTATGGTAATGTTCAATATGGCAATAAGTTATTTTCTGAAAAGGTAATCTTGTCTAGGGAAGATGAGTGTACTTTTTTGGCTTGTTAAATAAGTCTGGAAATTCAGGAAGTTCATTGCGTCCTTCTAAATATTATAAGGTATTAAAGCCAAACATTTTGTCTGTGTATTATTATTAAGCATGTAGTTGGCCGTGTTTAGCAATTGTATAAGTAGGAGTGACTTTAGTGATTGTATCACCTTACACAGGTGATTATATATGTGTATATATACACACATTTATGAAGCCCAAGTGGGAGGGTCTAGGACATCTGGAGTTGAGGTTGTGTCTCAGAACACTTATGGCAGAGTAAGTCTGTTGTCCCTTCTTTTTCCCTGTGCTTCCTTGTTACTGCTGTTCCTGATAAACAATGCTTGCTTCTTATAGGTGACGTTCACTTTGGGCTTTTCTGACCATTCAGTGGATGTTACTTAAGCATTTTTTACTTCTGTAACACATAACCATGCTAGAGCTTCCCTTTACTGCAGCTCCCCAGGTGGTGTATTGGGCTGCAGTACTCTAGAAGGCAGTCTCTTCTGGTTGCTGGATTCTCAGTACATAGCTGCTTTGTCAGCCTTTTGGTACGGGTGTTCTCTTACCCTCCCTTTTGAGAGCTGGATTTTGCCATGCAGCTGCAAAAGCACTTCTCTGTCTAGAGTTGATCTAAAGATCTCTATGTGATTTAACCACTAAGTTTTCAAGAACTAAAGCTAGGGATTTAGCTCCTTAGGAACCTTAGGAGAAGTTTCTCTGCAGAGCCTTGCAAGCACAATTTCTCATAATACTTGTTTCTAGATGAAAGCAGGCATTAAGTTGTATGCCTGTCTTGCTACATTTGTCAGTGCTCGGCATCATTTCTTGGTGCATGTTCAGGATTAACTGCATGGAGGTCCTTGGAGATTCAAGGCACTGTATTGTTTCTGAACTGGGGGGTGGATTTGGCAAAACTCTACCAGAAAGCATTACACTCAGCATGTCATACACCATACATGATACAATCTTTAATAGCCACAGCTTAAATTGCCTGTAGTGTGAGTCTTCAGATGATTGGTTTTAGTGTACTTCACCACAAAATTATTAGCTCGCATAATGACAATTGTGTCTTTCTCCAGATGTCCTTCTAACCACACTTTAGTTTGTCTGACAGTTGATTTAAAGTCCCTTCTTGCTTGACTCTAGATCAGGTTGATGGTTTTACTCCCTTGGTGCCGTGCCAGGAAAGCAGTCTTGTTTGAGCTGTGTGTAAGAGGGTTTTCAGTTGTCCTGGCATACAGTCCTTTGAAGTAGCTTCGCAGTCAGCATAAAGTAGCACAAGTAAAGGCTTTGAGCAGCGTGCAGCTGAACAGAAACACTGAAAGATCCTGGAAATAAGTGGCAGGCAAGGAATGCGTAGTGCGCAGCAGAGGCGGTAAGTGGTTGCTGTGGAGCATGGAGCTAATGTCACCATGAATTTCATCCTATGCTTGCATAGGGAAAGGTTCATAAAAGTCACTGGGACTCTTTGGGTATAGTAATACACATACCTATTTGGAAAGCAGTGCCAATTTGAGCAGCTTCTACTCTGCTACTTCCTTGCTGACTGTGCCATGAATTGAATCAGGGAATGGATTTGTTGGAAGAAGAATTTGACAGGCAGGCTTATTTTTAACTAGTGTCAGTGACAGTGGTTCAGGGGAGGGGCTTACACACAGTAGGAATTACTGCTGTAGGTTGCAGTGAAAGGAAGGACTGGAGCTTGGCACTGCTGTTTAAATAAATGTACATGTAACTGTGCCTTTGGGCTCTACGCCCAGGTTTTATGAGACCGGATAGAAGCTGGAATAGGGAAGTGGTTCTGTTTGTTAAATAATTAAAACTTGTTATGAGCATCTCAAGTGCAGGTAATCTTGATGAGTAATCATTTTTTACTTTCTGTTGAGTCATTCTGTTGGCTTAGAGTAATTATGAGTGGGTTTTTTGTTTCTTGTGGGCTTTTGGTGGTGGTTTTGTTTTGGAAGGAGGTGCGGATGTGTACCCACACTTTCAGCACCAAAACTGGAAGGAATTGCTATTGCTTAATTTAATTTCTGTGTAGGACTGGAAAAGTAGAGAAATGGGGAAAAATGCAATGCAGCGTTGCAGCCAAATCAGAGCATTCTTCTTCAGTCTTGCAGTTTGTTGCACGTCTTATAATGCATCAAGTTAATTTGCTTAATTCTTACATTAAAGCACTTTTACTGTAATTGAGCAGCGTTTCAGTTGCATGGATAGTTTCTTTGTATTTCCTTGAGAAATTGCATCATGTGGAATGAACTGTGTATGTGTGTTTGCTTTTATTCTAGAATAAATGTTGATGAAAATCTGAGAAGCGTTCTCTGGGGGTCTGGTACCTCCAAAAGATTCCCTTTTACTGTTTCTCTGATAACACTTGTTCACAAGCTTATGTGCTGCTGTTTAGGTTGATCTGAAGCAATGAAGATAAACAACTGTGCTGACTGATGACCTACTCGGTAGTCTGTGTAGTTTATGAAGCAGATAAATAAATAAATATATTTTTTTTTACTGTATTATATTTTCTTTGGCAATGAAATGTCTGTCAACCTGTTGCTGGTTGATTGATACTTGTGCCTTACTGTATCATTTGTGATAGTACACGAATTCTGCAATGTATTGAAGTAGTAAATTAGAGAAGTGTTTTGGACTTTACAGTCTACACCACCTCTTTCTTTATAGTAGGCACTTAATTGATATTTTTTTTTCTTTTTAAGCAGACCAAACTTCATTTTTTCAAAGTAAAAAAAAAAAAAGTCTAAAGTTTTTAATGTTTCCTTTTGATGCTTTTACAGAGTTCAATAAATAGCCCTGTTTGTGATTTTTTTCTTCCCCCCCCC